GCGGTAATGCTAACGCTAATTAAAGTAGCTAGTTTCTAATTAGAAATATAGTCGCATGCAGTTATCTAAGCAACTAGGGGTGCTGTTGGATTAGTGTTAATCCCTAGATTAGCGCTCGCTAAGTAAGCCTCGCCGTATATATGCAGATTTAGCTACCAGTTTATAAGCTTCCAACTTACAGCTTTAATTAGTACATGCACGCTAGCTGTGCCACTAGAAGCGCTTTATAGCGCCTTCTAATATTATAGGCCTTTTATTTAGAAATCTCTATCTTCTAAACATAATATTTAAAAGTTATTTACTCTAAAGAGAGCCAGTTTATAAACTTCTAAAAATTAATTTATACCCTGCAGAGATAACGTACCTAAGTTATAGTCCTAACTAATTCTCTAACTTTAATTTCTTTCTAGAGTTAGCTTAAATAAATAAGCCCGGTATTATAGCAGACTAGTTTAGCAACTCTATATTTAAATTTTAGCTTCCAGATATTATACTATTATCTAAGCAGCTTCTAAATATAATACTAATTTCTAAGCCGGATAGTAAAGCTACCTTAGTAGACTTAGCTATTATAATAATACTTTAAAAAATTAAAAGGGCGGTTAGTAAGACTTAGGAGAAGCTTAATATTTAACAGTAAAAACTTAAAACTTAGTAAGGAAAGCTTAATACTCTGCAGGAGAATATTAACGCTCTAAAAGAGAACGTTGCTACTATTAGAAGGGAGTAAGTTTATCTAAACTATAGTTGCGTCCAACGCTTACTATAGCCTATAGCACCTATAATAATATTAGGTACAGTATTAGCAGAGCGTGTACAAGACTGTCTAATAAAATTGCAGGCAACTCTCTAATATTAATAACTATATTGCAAATTAAAGGAACTAGGCGTTGGATTTTAAGAAAAGTGTTAGCAATAGTATAAACAGGCTGCTGGAGTCTATACAGCCTAATAATTAACAGAAAAAGCTATAACTTTATTAGAAAGGTGGTGCAATAATTAATAAATCTTATATTACTATTAATCTATACCTATCTTATAAGCTAGTACTTAATATCTTGCGGAGGCTCAGCGGAAATCCCCTAGTACTCCAGCTAGCCCTTACCCGCAAGCCTTTTATTTTTGCTAAACTTATCCTGCGCCCTTTATATTGCAAGAACAGTATTAAGCCTAATACCTAGTAGAGTAATTTTAGCATGCTAAAGTCTTCTAAAGTGCCTAATCTTGCGCTTTAAATCTCTATTTTCCTTTTTAAGTTTCTTTTCTAAGAGTTCTTTCTCCCGTTTAAGCTTACGTTTAGCTTTGTTTTCCCGCTTAATATCCTTTATACATTTTCTTCTTTTAAAATTGTCTAGAGCTTAGAAGAGAGAGATAATAGCCGGGTTATTATTTACTAAAAACAATATCTTATCTAACTAATAAATATCTAAATTATAGAATTTTATAAGCGCTGTAATTGCCCTATAGTATAAATATAATAGGACAGCAGAGAAGTATATTCTTATGCTGGTTAGAAAGGGCGGCACTGTTAACGTAAGTGTTGTAGTTAGTTTCGGCTCTGCGCAACGCAGAGGTCCGTGCCTTACTAGTCGAGCCTATAACTAGGGTCCGGCGGCAAAAATACTACTTAGACGAGTGTAATTCTAGTAAGAGCATGTTTCGGTCCCTATTAGAAATAGCCACGGAGAAACCTAGGCACAAAGACCCTATTTATCCGCGCTAACTCCACCGCAGCGCATGCTGTGTAGCCGTTATTCTAAACGGAATAATTACGTTACAGTCTCCGTTAGAAAATGTGCCGTAATTGCCTCTGCTATATAATAAGTAGTAGCAACTAAGGTTGTAGTTAGTTTAGGCTAATACTATACCGCGCGGGTCCTCGGCTTATATATTGCGGCGGTTAAACTAATTACGGAAGCAAGGCGGCGATACCTAATACCTACGCTAATTATAGGGAACTTGCTTCGGTCCCTATTAAAAATAGTTAAGGCTAGTAATAAGTTAGAACTAACCTTAGGAAGGTTTACAACTTTTAGTTTAAATATTCTTGCTATACCGCAAACTGTCGCCGGCTTCTCCTGCCGTAATCACATAATTTTTAAGTAATGCGGGCAAGCTGCTCACGGACGTTAATCACTATTGCTAATACTTCCTAGATATAGAATGTAATTAGTTTATAATTAGCATCTTGCTCCAGCCGCTATATATAGCCCTAGCGTATATTCCTAGCTATAAGCGCTACGGATATAACTTCTGCTAGCGGACCTGTCCGCAAAATGCTCTATTATCCGACTGGCATCCGTGATCCGCTGTGCCACATTTACTATACACGTTTGGAAATAACTAAGAATATACTCCTAAGTTATAGAAGCTGTTGCTTAAAGGAAAAGTACTTGCGGCCTAGAGTCTAAGATGCTATAATCGAGCGAAATCTAAAGTATTCGAACACTACTTAGATTAGAACCCACCTTTTACTATAAAGAACTAAGCGGCCTATTAATATCCAACTTTAAACCCGAAAATTAAAGCACTATAGCTTTATATATCTTTACAGGGTAAAATACGCTAATAGCGGGCTAAGTCTAAGAAAAAGAAGAAATAGGCAAGAAATAATATTATTAGACCACCGGACCAGCACTAGTCCAAATTCTAAGTAGTAAGCAACCTATCCTTTGTTATTATCTTTTAGCTTATTCCTAGATTTACTAGGTATAGAATCTAAGAAGATAGAGCAATAGGGATTATATACGGTTAGATATATTGTTTTCGTATTCGCCTAGTATTAGGTTTCGATTGCAGCTATATTAGATTGTGTTTATATATTAGGAAGGTATTGCTATATTTAAAAAATAGAAGCGCGATGCGGTGGGCTTTTATATTATAATATTGTTTGCGGACGTAGAAAGTAGTTCCGTTCGGTCTTAGGAATAAGCCTATATAGGCAGTAAAAAGTGCTAAAATATAATATAGAGTTATTATAAACACTAAACTCTATATAGCAGAGCATGCCCTGCTACCTATAATACTTTTTTCCTATATTTGCAAACAAGATTACAATATCGCCTGCCAGTAACAACCCTATAAATAATAGCCGAACTACGCCTTATATTAGCAGTATATCCAAGGCGTTTTATAGGGCAAGCCTGAGAGCGCTAGGGCATATAAAATTAACACCGGTACTTAGCACCACGAGCAAAACCAGTTAGGCATCTGCGATGCCTGCGCCTTTAAAGCCATCTAAACCAGCCGAATCCCGCGTTCTAATCGACTAGAAGATTTAGTTCCTCTAAAGGGAGAACGCGCAACTTAAGTAAAAACGCGATTATTATATACAACTAACGGGGGCCGGCACTACTTTTAAGCATAATATTAATTATTATATAGAGCAACTAAAGAATACAGTATTAGTATTTAAGCAAGCCTAAAAACAACTTAGCAAGGAGTATAATTCCAATATATAGGGTACTTTTAGATATAGTCCGGGATATTAAGATCGAGGTTTAAATTATTACAGAGGCTTAGCTTTATATCGCCCTAAATACTACAGGTATTTTGTATATATAGCAATAGTTACTAAAATAGAAATATTAAGATAGAAATAGGATAGGGATAGATTCTAAATAAAAAGTTTAGAACTGTCTAAGGCCGGATTATATCCAGCTTTACGTCCTTTTAGTGCTTTTATATATCTGCAACCGATATATATATAATATTCCAGCCTAACTATTCTATATCTAATTTAATTAGTCCAGGTCGCTCCTTTTTCTCTACGCATAAAGTAATAGCACTTATTTATTTCACTAATAGAGGCTAAAAGCGGTTAAAAAATTTATTATTATTTACTAATAGCAAATAAGCTTATTATAACACTATTTAATAAAACGCTAAACTATATAGGCTAAAGAAATTAATTCCTAAACTATTTTATTTTACGCTGCTTTCTATCAGGCCCTTCCTTAATATGCTCCTCTCTCTTACGTTTTTTATAGTTAGCTCGGCCAAAATTTGTATTTAAGCCTTAAGAATTAACAAGTCTATTAATTAAAAATAGGGAACCGCTAATATAACGGGCTTTATATTCTGCCTATTTCAAAGTTATATTAATTCTAGCTTTTATCTTAAATTAAATCCTTTTACGGAACATGCCTAGATCTAATATTAACTAATCCGGCTTACTATCTATAGGTTAGCCGTCTAATAGAAACCTTATAGAGCTGTCTTTTAGTTGCTATAGAAAGGTCTAGAACGGCACGCTTTTACGAGATAGGTAACAGTAAATATATCCGGCACCTTAGTAATAATTATTGGATCTAGTAGGCATTAATTCTAATTTAAAGTAGAACCGGGTTGCCGTTAGATACTGCGCTGCCGCTTTAATCTCTGGCGTGTCCCTAAGTTGCTTTTATATATTTGCTGTAATATCTTTTATTTTTAATATATTATCTAGTGCCGGCTCGGCTCCTTTAAATTTAATATCGAATCTAAAATACTGTTCTCTCGAATTTGCCGGGTACCGGTTGCGAAATTCCTGCTAAATTTTCTTTCCACTAATTAACTATATAAATATACTATAGAGGCAAGGGAATAAGCTCCACGTCTAGGCCCTTTTTAGGCTAATTAGTCCTATAATATCTTAACTCTTAGATAAACCTATACTAAGAAATATAACGAAATCAGGCTTATTAATTATCGACTATATTACTAGTATCTCCTAAAGCGCAAGCTCGACGGGATTATTCTTCTATTGGCCACCGTTTTTAATAGGCCCCACGCTAGGTACCTAAAAGGAAGTAAAGAACCTAAATAAAATGTTAGTAATCCTGTTTTATATCTAACAGCACTAATCTTACTATAGAGCTGCTGTTACCTCTTTTACCCTTTAAAGATATTAGCTCTGTTTATAGTAGAAACGAATAGGGAAATTTATATTTCCTAGAAAGGGATTCTTCGGTTAGTTAGTCTTATTGCTCGATACCCTAGTATTATAGTATTAATACTAACTAAAATTCCGTTTTATTATTAGACTTACTATAATCTTTAGCACAGGTGCTAGCACTAATATAGTTTATAAAGATATATAGTAAAGTTCTATAGAACGTGATTATAGGCAGGCCTATCTTAATTCTATAAGCTAACGCGTGGGATATTTCTAAAATGCTTGTTTCTTCGCTAAATACTTCCTTTAGAACGCGTTCGATATTTAACGCTGGATAAACGCCCCGGAGATATAATAGAATAAGTTAATAAAGCTAGGAGATTAAAAGAATATAGTAGGACGACTATAGGGTAAAAGCTTCTATAGCAAACTTTTTAAAAACCGATATAGCGGTTTTAACAGACCAACCCTTAAAGAATATACCTAATATAATAAGGGAACCTTAAATAGTTAGAAATATTTAATTACCGCTCCTATAAAACTTGCCTAAGCTGGCTCCGTATATAATATTAACATTTTCTTAAATTGGAAAAAAGAGTCTGTTCTGTAATAGCTTTAGTGCCTGTAAAGGGCCTCTCCCTTAAATACCCCCGCTATTAATACTAAAAACCACTACGCCAGCTATATCCGGCTTTATTCTAAAGCTTAGATCTGTTAAAGTTATACTATAGAGGAAATAAAACCGCACTTAGTAAATCTAATAATTGTCTTTATTCCTAAATATCCTTACGCAAGTTTTATAAATAAAATGCCTATAAGGCAGAATAAAGTCGGGCGTTCTCTGCAGATATATTAAGTAAGTATAGTTAGTATATATTACTTTCTATAGTGCTTTAAATGTTCCAGTATTCGACCTATAAATATCTGCAATAGTAAGGTCTCTTAAAATATATTTTAGGAAGTAGTCGACGAAATTATCTTTAATTAACTAAATAAAGTAGCTAGGTTTAATTTCCTAGCCCTTACTATTTTAAAAGCGTATAGCTTTAACGTAAGTATTATTATATAGAACTTTAAAAACATACTAAGGCCCAAATACTATCTGCTATTAGTAGCCTTAAACTTAGAAGTAGACGTATTACCTACTATAGGTACCTAGAGGGTAATTATTAAGCAGAAAGCTAGATATAATTATAGGTGCACTAAAGCTAACGAGATCTTTAGTCGATTTAACTAGATTTAGAAACCTAGAAAGGTGCTCGGCTAAATTAGCTAATATAGGGTTTTAAAATCTTATAATACTAATAAAGTTAAATAGCTTATCACCGGCCCTAGTAAAGTAGGTACAAGCTTCTATAAAGAAAGCCGCTAGATATATAGTAGAGAATTAAGCCCGCAGCTCTAGCCTTTTTCTTTAAGATTTTTCTAATAGGTTTATAAGATATTCTCTTAACTTTCTATTATACTTACCCTAAGGAGTATAGATTAGGACCTTAAATAACTAATATTATAGTAAAGACCGACTAGGAGTTTATACTTCTATTAAATTCTAGATATTTTTCTTTATTATAGTTTCTGCCCGACTTATAGCAACCTTAGATTCTACTATAATAAGTAGTTATAAAAAAGTAAAGCTTAGGATAGTTGAAAACGGGCTCCTTTTAAACTATATAACTAGGCGTTAAACTAAAGGCTTAATACCTCCGCAATTAGCTGTAAAAATATAGAAAATATTAGCAATTAGCGCTAAGAAATGTAAGTAGATGTAATTAGCTAAGTTATTTAACTCTACTATAGATTTTTCTACTATTCGCGGCAGTATCCGGGTAGCAATACTGTAACACGCATTGCTTATAAGTGGCTTCCCGCCTTTAATTTAGAATAGAAGAACCCTATCTATAATAAATACTAGCGACTCCGTATTAATAAATAAGAAGTTATAATAAAGGTGTAAATTACCACAGGGCTTTTTACTCTTAGAATTTTGTAGTTTAACACCTAGGGCAAGCTTATCTAGAGCCTTTAATTTTATTATACTTCTAATAAGTATAATAAGAATAGGATACTGCTTATCCGGGTTTAGTAGAAAGGTTACTAAATATTAGAGAATAGAAGTCTTGGAAAGAACAGTTTTATATTTCTAAACCTAGATACCTAGCTAATAGCTGTGTTTATAAGACTTTATATTAAGTGTTTTTATTAAAAAGTATAAACTCTAAACAGAACTATATAGTAGGTGGAATAGGTGCACTTTTAGGCTTCCTTTTTTTAGCGGGTCCTATTTTTAGGCTTTAAGGTTATAACCTTTTTAAGCGGTCTCTAAAGGTAAGCCCTTATAAGCTAGAAGTATATTACTTAGCAATAACTTATACCTAAGAAATTTAAATAAATATAGGATTTAGAGAATTGCTAAGGCATTTAATATCGCTAGAGTATATTAGTAAAACAAGTAATTATCCTAGTAGACAAAGGAATATACAGATATATAGGGTCTCTTTAGACTTTAATCCTATATATAGTTACTATAGTAAATATCGATTTTCTAGGTACCGATCTCGGTATATAAGTATAACTGCGACCTCTAGCATCTATTTAAGGTAAATATACGCTTCTAGTTTAAAAGAGCCGGCTCCTACTATACGCCACTTATATTACTACTATTATATAAGAAATAATAACTTTAAAGGGGAAAGAAGTTCTATTACTTCGCCTATAAATATAGTGCTGCCTATAGTACTAGAATTATCTGCCGCTCTATACTCGCTAACACCGGTTACTGGAAAATATCACGAGCAACTTTATGCGGAATAATAATCTCTACCGTTTTATTCTAAATAAAAAGGTTTATTTATGCTATTAAGATGTTATTATAACAATAGGAAAGGCGCTGGCTTAAAGAACCGCGCCGGGTCCGTTTTATACTCCGTAGCATCTTTAAAAGAAGACTAGATAAGCAGTTATATAGAAGGTGTTTTAAGGTTTAGGATCTTATATATAATAGTAGAGAGTTCGGAAAGCCTTATAAATTTAGGTTATAGTGTTTTTACAACCTTTTTAAACTAAAGTATAGTGCTTAGATTAAATTTATTAAACCTATACCTATTAGAAATGTTTTAAAAGCCTTTATAAATATAAATATATACTTATTTATATATATTGGCTTACTAAGGCTCTTTCTATACTCCGGAAATATATTGGCGAGATCTAGTTAAGGAGGTAAAATTTAATCTCCGGGAAAAAGTAGCAGCAGAAACAGATCGGTCTTATTATATCCCTTAAAAAACTAAGCAATTTTCTTACCTTTAAGCAAATTTATAGTTAGATATTTTTTGTTTAGATTGCTCACCCCTTAATTAAAATTTAACCTTTTCTTAGCGCTTTACTAGAGCTGGCTAGCTATTGCCTTGTTTATTCCTTAAAAAATTCGCTTCCTAATAACACTTTCTGCAGTCTTATAACTATAAAGGCAGCCTTTAGCAGCAGCTATTGAATTTTTATACTTACTACGGGCTTTCCTTTCTATAAGCTTTCTTTCTCTTTCTACTGCTATAGAGTTTTTAAACGTTTTATCTAAAAAATATAATTCCTATTTTTTTTAAGCGAGCCTAAGGTAATTTTTACCTATTTACTAATTAATATTAAGTTAAAGAAACACTATAGTAAGATTATTAATCAGTAATTCCGGAAGAAAGGTATTTTCTATTAAAATTTGCTTTAGCGTCTGGAAAACCTCCGCGAATCTAATTTAGAAGGTATACTAAATTACTCTTAAGCATTTTTTTTATAAGGAAGGTCGGCTGGTTTTTTAAGGCAAAGCTAGTTTATATAAGGAAGTCTCTTCTTTAGAGCGCTTATTTTACTTATAAATACTTTGTTTTCTTGCGGGTTTAGTAATAGTAATAAGAAGTTTTTTAGAATACAGGGCCGACTAGCGTTTAAGTATTATAAGTAGGGAATTTCATCTCGCTTTCTTTTCCTAGGGTTAAAGCCTAGATAGTAAAGAAAGGCATTACTCTGCGGTGTATTCTTGTAGCTTTCTATAATTAATTAGAGGTAGTATAACCTTAGGTTTCTAAAAGAAATATCTTTAACAGGAATATCTAAAACTATTGCTTTAGCGTTATAGTATATTATTGTTCCGCAATTAGTAAGGTCTCTATTCCTATAAAGGTAGAGTTCTTTAGCATGCTATTGCTACTTTTTTTCTTATAACCCGCCTAGTTTTTTATTTATTACTTTTTCTAGATATATTACCTATATTTTCCTATTAAAGATATTCTTACTAATAGTAGTAATAGTTCGCTTATAAATATCGACTATAGCTAAGCTCTAGTAAAGGTTAAGCATATACAGTAGAACGAGAAATCTTATATTACTTAGGTTTTTGCGTTTAATAAGATTTTTAATACCTAGCTCGTCTACTAGAAGCTCTAGAATACTTACTATGCTAGGTAGCAATTTACTAAAAATAGCAAAGACTAGAATATTATTTAGCTAGTAATTTTTACTAGACTTTAGCAGCAGATAGTTAAAATAACGGGCAAGTTCTTTTTTCTTTTTATATATCGTATTTTAATACAGTAGGAAATAGTTACTTCCGGTAGTAGTAGCAATATTAATATAATACTTAAAGTCGGAAAATTCCCCTATCGAAGTATTAGGCTTAGTAGGCACCGGTAGTAAAATAGTATTGTTATTATTATTATCCGTCTTATTATTATTATTAATAACCACGAATTCTACAGGAGCTGCTTTTTAGTCTAACTTAGTACTTAGTAGCTTTATAGTAGTAGGTAATATATTTAGTATAGTCTATTTAAGTGTAGTTAATATCTGCTCTATAGTTATAAGCTTATATTTCGGTATTATAGTTGCGGCTAATATTTAGTCTACTAAGGGGTTCTCTAATATTTACTTTATAGGTATATTTTCTTAGGTTATAGATACCTAGTATATAAGGGATATCTACTGTATTACTATTAGGTTTAGAGTTAGGATTATAGATATCTGCTCTAAGTTATACTCCGAGTTATACCCTGGTTTTAGCTCTAGTTTAATAATATTATAGATAGCGGGGCTATTCTATAGGGCGTTCTTCTCTATTTTTTAGTTTTTTAAGTTGCGATATTATTAAATATTAGTAAGTAAACTTTCTAGAGCCTGCTCTAAACCTTTTAAAGAACGTAGATCTGCATCGAAAGGTAATAAACTTAGCGTTTACACAACTTTCTAAAAGATATAAGTAATATATTAAGGAATATAGTAGGGTCTATTACTAGAAGTTATCGGAAATTCCTGGTCTATCCCTTTATAGAGTTGGTAAGTTTTAGGAAAGATTTCCGCTTCTAGTTTTATAGAAGCAGAAGTGTATAGCTACCTTACTATTCTTATAAGCTATTTATTTCGTTTTAATTCGGCCTTAGGAGTATAGCAAAAATAATATTACGGCAGGAAAAGCACGAGCCTATATAGGACCTTGCGCTACTAACTTACTAGAAAAGGATTTTATAAAGCTAAATATAGATTTAGCACCGGCTTTCCTAATATAGAGTACGGCGCTTAATATAAGCGCTAAACTATATATCCGAAGGCGTCTACTTTTAGACGCCTATAGGTTATAATATAAAAATATATTTAAGGTACCTTTTTAAATCGCTATAGCGCTAAATAAAGATAAAAAAAGAAGAAGTACCTAAAGAAGAAGAAGGGGAAACTCCCTATAGAACAAAATTATTTAATTTAATAAGCTATGCGAAACACGTATAATATATATTATTTATTACCCTAATACTAATTAGTATAAAATCTTTTTACCCTCTGGTTTAGAATAGGTTCTATTGCGTAAATTTATAAGTTCTAAGCCCAATACTATATACCGCCGTTAATATCGGCCTAAGCTATAAATAGAGCCTCTACTATAATAAATAGAGGCTTAAAACTTAAAGGTAAAAAATTAAAAGCCCTAACTAAAGCCTAGACAGGCTCTAGGAAATATATTTTAAAAAATCGAAATAATTAATCTAACTCCTCTACCTAACCCCCCCGCATTTACACCAACTAAAAGGGGAGTGCCCGTGGAAAATATCTATATAAAAAAGGAGAAAGTTAATAATTAGCGCTTAAGATGCGATTATAGTCTTTTCGGTTAGATATACTTTCGGATAGGTAAGATATGCCGAGGTTAGTGTATTAGAGAAGGAAAACGCTTTCGGGATGCCCCTACTAAGCTTTTTTAGGGTAGCTTTATATAAGAACGAGTTGCTAGTAGTATTAGCCTTAACTCTAGTATTAAACCTTATATAGGTATACGGAAATAATAATTAAATAAGTTTAATAGCGGCCTAGTTTATATTTATACTTACCTATTAACCTTTTTATACTTTTATATATATTTTAAAGTAATTAACTATTCTAACTATTCTTATATATAAGTCTTGCTTAAGGTTTTATAGACTAATACTATGCTAGCAGTAATCCGGTGCCCTATAACTGCTAGCAATTGCCAATTCTATTCTATACCGATAGAAGTTACTCTAATATTGCGCCTAATTTACCTGCCTTTGCCTTATATTTCTGGAAATATAATTAAATTAGGCAGTAAGCACTTATAATCGGAGTATATTTTATATTACGAGCATACCTAACGTCTAAATTATTCTAGCGTTTATAATAAGATACTATAGCTTAGCACTGCTTTACCAGATTCTAGATAATCGGAAGCCTAATTAACTAGTTTAGCTAATATATTGCTAGAGATCTTTCGAGCGAAATTATATACTAGATCGGGTGACTATTATTAACCCTACGGTTAAATTCAGCCCCTTTATAGCTTAGCGGCGAAGCTATAAAATAGATACCTATACCGGGGAAATCTACTATAAACTGCCTAGTATATATTTCGGGCATAGCTACTGCTTACTTATATATTTGGCGAAATAACTATCTTCTAAAAGTCTAGAAGTATAAATATTAACCTAATACCGCCTTAGGCAGCTCGACTAGCAATTCTATACTATTATACTATCGATTTATAAATATCTTTATCTAAAATAGTTAATATAGCTACTATAAACAACGCACTTTTTCCTAATATAAAATATACTGTCTGTAAGCCACCGGGGCTATCTAAGGTTAAAACCGCTTCTATTTTCCTTGCCGGCAGTATTAAAATAGGTAAGGCGACCGATTAGCAATTAGCTTTAACTAAAAAGCTTAAACGCCTTCCTATTACAATTTTTAACCCGCGTTGCGACAACTAGAATAGTAGCTAGAAGCAGGATATTATAAATACTTACTTTAGGGAATAAGTTAAATAGGAGATAAACCAACTAGAGGCGTCGGATATTATTATTTTCTACTTTAAACTAAGTACTATAAGCCCTATTAGCTTATTAGAGCTCGGACTATATACGGATAGTAAGAAGTTAGTAGTATATTACCCTAAAGGGTTCTATAGAAGGGGAAATATATAGATTATATATACTAGATATAGTATATATTTTATAGAGAAAATAGAGGAGTTAATTAAGGAAGTTATTAAGAAATTAGAAAAGTAAGTATAAAGAGAGCTATAACCTAGTTATTAGCACGGCAATAGTATTATATTACTAAGTATAGCTATATTAACTCTAGGCGTTATTCGATCTCTATAATATAGTATTTATCTACTCTATATATAAACTAATTTACCTTAATTATAAAGTAATGCCTTAATCGGCCTTATTTGTAAATATAGTTAAGCCCTAAGTTATTACTTAATTAACTTAGTTAAGTTAATTAATTATTTAGCTAAGTTAATTACGCTTAACTTGCAGATCGAGCCTCCCGTTTAATAAGCTTTCTACCGGCATCTACGCCACGACTAAAGGCCGTCCTCGCGAAAAAAGCAACCGAAAATAAAGGCATAATACTAATTGGAGGTCACCTAACTTATAGAAGTTTAAAGCTCGCGTTACGCTAAAGTTGTTAAGAAGCCCTTTGCCTAAACTAGTTTAGAAAAAACAGAGATAATAAGGAACCTAAAGATTAGCTCTACTTTTCGCGAATACTAGTTTGTTATATAGAGGCTATATTAGTAAAAAAACAGCAGCCTTTTTTCCAACGTTATTTTAAACAGCGGCAATATAATAACTCTAATTAGTAGGGCAACCTGCTAGATCTAAGAAAGATAACGGAACTAAAAATAGTTAATATATAACCGTCTAGGTGTTTCTAAAGAGCGCTATACTATAGGTTAATTAGTAAGGTAAAGCGTATATAATAAAAGCAGCCAGATATTTAATATTATACTATATAACCCTATTCTAAAATATACTATAGACTTCTTTAGAAGGTTAAATCCGGAGTTTATACTTTTACGAGAATAATTAAGTTAATTAGTAATTAACTTAATATATTAATTATAAACTAACAGAATTGCAAGGAAGAGAGGAACTGTATTTCTATTTTATAGCTAAATTATTATTAACTAACTTAATTATAGTAATCCGTTACTTCGCCTTTTATTACTAAGCGCCAGCCAGTTAACACTATTAATAAGTATAAGCGTCGTGTTATTCGTCTAGATAACGTAATTGCTAACTTCTATTTAACTTCGATAAAATTTATTATTTAATGCTGGCCTTAGGGGACGGTCCCTTAGATCTCTAGAAGCTGGCTTATTTTAGTTTAAAGAATTAAATTACATTTGCTGTCCTAAGCGTGGGGGAATTATCCTCTACTGTTTCTATAATATATAGGACGTTAAATATCTTTTTCTTAATAGGTTTCCTAATAAATATACAGTCGCAACTAATAAATATAACTTAGGACTTTAGTAAGCGTCTATAGCAGTAACTTATTAAAAAAACAATAGATAGGAACTTTATAACTAGTTAGCACGGAATAAATAATTCCTATATAGTGCGCTTTTTATAACTCGGGGACTAGTATTAGCTCCCGGTAAAAGCAGGGAGATAGTGCGGCGATAGGAGGAGTTGCAGTATTCTTAAAATAGACCTCTTCTATCGAAATAAATATTTACTTAGGGATTTACTCTGCTATACTTTTTAACTCTATTTCTTCTCGTTTAAATACTATAACTTCAACTCTAACTAGCCTTTTTAGACGGCTACCGAACGAAGTACTGTTAATAGTACTTAATCTTTTGCCGATAAAAAATGTATTTTTATTAAAGAGGGCGACGCACAGCTTACTGCTAGTCCTGGAAACATAAGTAGATCCTGTTCGATATTTTAAAGGAAAAGGACTATTTATTAATGCCCTAGATTTACTCAAGGCTATATTAAAATATAGCGCGGTACTTTCCGAGTCTAGAGCACTTAACTAGTTTATCCTAATATCTACCACCGCAGCATCTAATTAGGACTTCTATATTCCTCCCGAGCTAACCGCAATTATATCTGTTAAGCGCGCTCTTAAACAGTCCGGGGTAAGCTTTAAAACCTGCCTCGCGCAGGCAGTACAAAAGTTGTAGAGCGAATTTTTAGTCTTACTTAATCGGAACCAGCTCGTTTCTATTATATATAAAGCTTATTTCTATTAAAATTCTTAGAGGTATAATAAAAATAACGTCCTAAAGGCAGTCTACTGCACCTTTCTAATACTACGGGATATCTCCCTATATATTTAGCCAGATAGATCCGTAAGCTAGATAGCTAATCTCTAGCTAATATTTATTAATAAAGATAGCTGTATTTCTTTAGGAGTTTAGTAAGACAGTATTTAAGAAAGTAACTACAACTATATTGCGCCCGCAGTGCTGTCCGGAACAGCGTAAAAGTTTAATAGAATAGTTCTAGTATAGTTAATTGTCGGCGCGTTAAACTCTTAAAGATAATAGGCAGCTAAGCCTACACCGTTATTTTAGAGCGTTCTCCGAAGTATCTTTTGTTTCTATAGTAGTTATATCTAGTATATTCTTACTAAGCATATCGCCGTATATATATACTATAAGCTTGCTATAGAGAAGATAGCCTACTAGTAGTAAGTCCCCACCGTTATCTAAAATAGAGCCGATGCTGTAGTTTAGAAATATAATCGCAGGGGTTTTTATTTTATAACGGCTCCTGAAACTAAAGATATATAAACTCCCTACGCTGCCTTTAATAACAGCTTATATTTCCTTATCTTAGATTAAAACAGCAACTACGTTCCTTTTCTTTCCTTAGTAAGGGAGCTTAAATAGAGCTATAATAGCACTATTATTAGCCCTTCTATAGGGCTAATTATAAGAAAAGCACGATATAAGCTGCTATTTTTTAGAATAGTCTATCGAATATAATATCTAAGTAAATTCTACGGTTATTAGCATTAGATTAGTTCTTTATAAACATGCTGTATATAACCTTAGAGTTACCCTATTTACAGCTTAGTTAGCTTTAATTATTTAGAAGCTCCCCTTTTATATTCTATTCCTTTATTACTCGTCTGAAGTTATATATATAACCCTTGTTTAAACCCTATAATTTAAGTAGTTCTTAACTTCTTAAGCCTTAATTCTATGCAGTAAAACGGTCTTTTAATTATTATATAAGCGCGCTAAACCCTTCCGCTAAAATATAGAGCAATTCCTTTGCATAGAGAAACTTTAGAGTGTATGCTTTTAAGGGCTAAGCGTTTTAAAAATCTTAGAGCTATTTTCTTTTTAATGGAATTATTATCCTACTGCCCCCTAAAAGTATATAAATAGTTGTAGTTAAGCAGGGTATAAAGCTAATATTGTTCTAGATGCTGTTGTTAGGCCTTAAACGCATTAGATGCGGATAATAATAATAGAAAGCTATAGTCCGAATTTACTACAATTTCTAAGGCCGAATAGGATTGGAAAATTACTAAGTATTAATTAAAACAGCAGCCTAAGGGAGCTTTTTTAGGAAGGAGAGAAGAAAAATACTTAGAAACTATATAAACTAACTTTAAAGAGAAAGTACTTAAGAAAAGGGCTACTAAGAAAAAGGGACCCGAGAAAGGCCGATCTACTATTGCCCTAGCATAGGTTACCAGCTTTTTAGTCTTATAATATAAAGAATCCGGTAATACTACTACACTACGCGCGTATATATAAGCCGGAAATAGATTAATATAAGCCCGATATTCTATAGAGAACTAGCAGTTACACAGCTCGAAATAATGCACCAGCGCAGGCCGCTAAGAATATTACTAAGGGACCTTCGGGAGCTACTTAAAATAGTAAGGAGACACCTAAGAGAGCTTTAAAAGCTAGAAATAGCGCGGAGATACCTAAAAAAGCTATAGGGGATTATAAGTTTTTAAGAGCTACTCGGGATTAGAATAGAATATAATGCTGCTATTTAAACTAAAGGTGCTGCAGAGCTGGATAATATTAAGATTAAGCCAATAAATAAAAATACTAAAATAGAAGAAGCTGGAGACTTCTTAGAAGGAGATAATAGAAACTCTAATAGACGTTCGGAGAGCAACTCCAGTAGTAATACAAGTATAAAAGATGTTGAAAATGTTAATAGTATTAAGAATAATAAAAATAACAGCAGCGTTTAAAAATTGGATTTTAATAGCAATTTTAATATACCAGCTCGGCCTTTACAGGCCCTTAATATATAATTGCATAGAAGAAAGTATAAGAAAAGTCGATTCGCGCTTCTATTAGCTTAGTAGAATATTAAAAGACTACCTATATTTATTACCTAGTGTTTCTTTTATTATTTTTTAATTTATTCTCGTTACTTATTTAATACTATTTCCTTTTTAGCTACTATACCTCCGCCAGCTCCTATACTAAAATACCTATAGTATTGGCCTTCTCCAGGATAATTATCGTCGCCCTTATAATAATACTTATAAGGCGCACTAAGTATAGAAATATTACGGCCGTGCTTTTTAGCTTTTCCTTTACCTTTCTACTATTAGCCTCCTCTAGCACCTCCTCTAAGGAAGTAAGTAGTCCTTAACTAGTAAATAGAGATAAAGAACCCTAATAAGAGCCTTAAGAAGAAGCCGGAAAAAAGCCTTTCTATAGCTCCTTATTATACTAAAAGTACTAATATAGCCTTAGCAGAAAGGGAAAACTTTTAAGCGCTATAGATATCCTAATAAGGCTAAGACTGTAGACGAGGTTAAAACTATAGTTAAAAAGGTGGGCGAAAGCTAGCAGAACCTTAAGAACCTGTTATAGCGTTCTAATAACGGATTAACTGCGCAGGAATAGGAGCAGCACTTGCAATACCCTCTGCTAAAGCCGCAGGATCTACTACTAGCCTAGGTGCGCAATTACACTATACTGCGCTCTATATTTAGGAACTAATCCTCTATAACCTATTAGCTTTAGCCTTAAAAAAAAATACTAAAGTTGCGTTGGATTAACTTTTTATATAGGCCAGCCGACGGCCTAATATCTACTTAAAGAGCGCCGGAAACCTTAAAGTATACCTGCAGTTAGAATTAGAAATTAGCTTATTAAAATCCTTATTTAGCTTATAACAGGGCCCTAATA